TAAAAATTTAAATAGGACGTCTTTTTTGGGGTTCCATATGTCTCAAAAGTATGTTCATGTGCTTTTGTAATGGAAGCTGCAATTGTATGGGGTTCCATTTGTGCTAAAAATATGGAACCCTAAATACTTTTAGTTTTCTTTCAACAATATATTTCTTCCTCAGACTTTTTCTTTTTTCATTTGGATGTATCAGAGTAAAGAGATTGAGTACAAATGCAAGCCATGTCTTTTAACAATTCTTGCTTGTGAAAAATGTTTAAAACAAAGTAAACTTCGACTTCCTGTGTTTTGTGTTACTCTGTCTCATAAAATCCCCCCAAAATACATTAGAGTTTGTGACTGTGATGAGACAAAATTTGAAAATGTTTTGTTGTTGTTTATACAAAACAACAACAAAAAAGCAGACTTTAAAGTTGAAATCTGAAATTACAAAATTATAGAAAACTAGAAAAACTTGAACCTCACCTCTGGAAAACCGACTCTAACCGAAGCACTTTTGTATATTTGAGCAATACGAGTGACTCCAAACATCCCTCTTTTGAGTTTTGCTTCATCATGTTTCACAGTTTTTGCCGGCTTGTATTTAAGTCTGCCTTGTCACGTTAAGCTGCTGTTGGTTCAGAAACATGACACAGCGCTCACACTTCCCGTTTGACTCAGCAGCTACGACACCAGGATAGTATAAAAGAGGCAGCAGGGAACTGAGAGGCCAGACTGGAGCCTTCGCAAAGAGACAACTTCCGCTTATACAGGCAGGACTGAGGGCTACAGATTACCAAACGTAAGTACAATCTGTTCAACCGATTGCTGTTGCTTCAATGGTGCTTTGAAAAAGCCGCATAAAGAGTTTAATGTCATCTGCGTAGATGGAGACGCTGAAGAGCGCAAGGAAAGGCGACTCGGGTGAAGCTGGCAGGTATGAACCTTTGAGTTGATTGCTTGATGAGATTTTAAAAATGTAGTTTTTCCAGTGGTGTAATGAAAAAGATTTTTTTTAAAATGACATTTTGTTTCAGCGACTTATCTGAGCAAATCAAAGCCGCCACCAAGGAAAACCACATCAGAGCTGAAAACACACAGCTGATGCTCAGCTACCAGAAGGGACAGATTACTCTGCAACAATACAAGGTATGGTGATTACACTCAAAGATGTTTTTTTCTTTTATTAATTTTTTCCCCGCCCCACATCATCTTTAATAAGTGTGTATCCCTCTAATGAACCACGCTAGGTCCTGCTGTGTTCCCTCTACGAGATCTACAAAGCTCTAGAAGAAGAGCTGGACAGGAATTCCTCTCATCCCGCTGTGGCGCCCATTTACTTCCCTCACGAACTGGCTCGTTTGGAGTCGCTGGAAAACGATCTGGAGTATTTTTTTGGCCAGGACTGGGAGAAGAGAGTGATCGTCCCCGCAGCCACGCAAAGATACAAACAGAGACTGAGGAAGGTGGGTGAAACTGTTCTGTGGTCAGTGGCGGTTCAAGCTTGGACATTGCCCCCCTTCAACCCACGTGTCCGTATTTATTTCTACAAACACAATCTGAGTATGGTAGTGCTGAGGTGAGCAGTCTATAAATGGTTGTTTTCATGTTTAAACAATGTTTAGGAGTTTCACTAATACCATGAAGGTTTCATAAATAAAACGTAAAAAGCAAACAGCCCTTAACTTCCTTGAAACACAGACCAACCTCAGCATCGTTAGCAGTTTGTGCAGTTTAACAGCAGACGCTAACATTAGCTGCGTTTCCATACACCATAAAATTGCACAAATTGGAATTAAAAAACAAAATAGCTAAATGGAAACATGCTAGCTTAGAATAAAACATTTTCGTTTTAATGAAAAGTTTCATATCAAAATGTGTGTATTTCACAAAAAGGCAATGGAAACTTTTTTCGCATGACGCATAAATGGCAGCAAACCGCTTATTTGTAGCCACTCCCCTCCTGATCGTCACCAGCATGATTTTCAAAACTTATCACAGAAACAAGCGTATTCAAGGGCAATTTTAATTGCATTTCTTATTTAATGGAACACAGCAATTGAGAAATTAGCAGCATTAGCATCATTAGCATTATTGACAAAATATCAAAAAAGTTTTGGACATATTTGTAATGGAAATGCAGCTAGAGTCCACAATCATGCGTATTCACGGAGTGAATGATGAAACTTTTTCTTTTTTTTGTTCGGTGGCCAAGTCAACAGTTTTTCCAAAATCAAAACCTGCAAAACAGCAAACTTAAGTACCATGACTCAACCATGAAGGATGAGTCATTGTCTACTTTACAAACAGACAACAAAAAAAGTTAAAGAAATCTTTTATTTTTATTTTACAATGTAGCGCCCCCTAATCTGTGCCGCCCCTTGCAGAGAACCACATCAACCAATATTTAGAAAGAAAACCCCACTATTATCTGCATTCTCAACAAACTGACTTTAGAAGTTCTTCTTTGGGTCATTTCTCAGATTGGCCAGGAGAAGCCTGAGCTGCTCGTCGCCCACGCCTACACTCGCTACCTTGGCGACCTGTCGGGGGGTCAGGTGTTGGGGAAAATCACCCAGAAATCTCTGGGGCTGAGCAGCAAAGAGGGACTGTCGTTCTTCTCCTTCCCCGGCGTGAGCAGCCCCAACCGCTTCAAGCAGCTGTACAGGAGCCGCATGAACAGCGTGGAGCTGACCGAGGAGGAGAAGGCGGCCGTGCTGGAGGAGGCTGTGGAAGCTTTCGAGCTGAACATCCAGGTGAGGGAACAAGATTCCGGGTCAGAGGCCGGTGACCGCCCGGTGAGAGTGCAATAAACTCCCTACGCGTCAGCCGAAACGGGAACTGAAACTGTATGTTTGCAGAGCAAGCATGTTGAAACTTGGTGATTTGACCAAAAGATGTTTATTTTTTTTTTCCTTCCTTTTCCCTATTAGGTTTTTGATGACTTGCAGAAAATGCTGAGCATCGCCGCAGAAACGGACCAATCAAAGAGCGGCGTGGGAGCCGCCAGGTTCGCGGCATCTCCCGTCCTGCAGCTCGCAGTGGGACTGTGTGTTGCCCTGGCAACTGTTGGGGCTGCAATGTATGGGAAGTAGTAATGTGGATTTCGTAGTCAGTATGCACGCAGAGCACTTTATGCACTTTACGGTGTCCAAAGTGTGGCTCAGGGACCACTTTTGGCCCTTAAAATTATTTTGTTTGGGCCCTGACCACAAGTCAAAAGATTTGACCCCCACAAATCTGGATTTTTTTTTTCTCTTTTATTAAGGCCCTTTTTGTTTTGGATCTATAAAGATATACCGATTTTATACAAATTTTGTTTATTGTCAAGCAGGTGAAATTTTTTTTTTTGTCAGTTTTAATTTAATGTATTTTGTGGCCCCTCTAGTAGTTTAGTCTTTTTTTTTTTTTTTTTTTTTCCTTTTGGAAAAACGTTTGGAGACGATGGAAGTTTTTATGCGACTTAAACAGAACAGAAACTTCTTGCCATGTACAATGTTCTTTACAAAGGTTGTGATTGTCTTTCAAACTTTAAATTTGTCTTCTTGTAAACAAACTTTAATGTTCTTTGTTGGGATTTAATGTAATTAATCAACAAAGTAGTGTATAACTGTGAAATGTAATAAGAAATGATTTATGGTTTTGAAATGAGTTTAAAATAAAAATCTTAAAATAAAAATGGTGTTCTGCACTTTTTACCGCACTCTTTGACAGAGACTACTGGCACTAATTGGATGGACCTCTAATGAATTAAGTCAGTTTTATTAGGAATGAATATTTTTGCACTGATTTTACACTACATATTTTTTATTCATCATTATGTTGCACAAATCTGTTTTTTGAAATAATTGTCAAAAATTTTGATTGTTTTGTGAAAATTTTTTAAAAATCCAATGGGTTGAATGATACTGAAAGACACGAAAATCCAATTAAATTCACTGACGTTTCTGGTTCAATGTGAAATTCTCAATGAAAGATGTTTCTATGGAAATCCATGTAGACTCTAATTTGACAAATGCCCAAAAAACAAACAAATCGGTGCCGTCGAATCGTGTGCATTCAACTTTATTTATTTAAACAATCTTCATCTCAACAGCGACATCTTTAATCCATTATCTCGGTACTAAACTGTGATAAATGTTATTTTCAGAATCCATCCTCAATTTCTCAAAACAACGCAGAACAAAAACTATTTACATAAACAAACAGAGCAGAGCCGAGGCTCCTCTACTTGACCCGGTAGAGGACCTTCCTCTGCCTGCGGTGCTGCAGCTCGCCCCTCCTCAGCATCAGGTGGAGGACCTTGTAGATGGTGTGCTCAGGGTACTTCTGCAAAAGCGAGAGAAAAGAGAAAAGAATGAGCGGTGGGGGATTTGGAAAGGACAAAAATACATTTGTTATGCAGTTCTCAAAGGATCTAGCAAGTTCTTTGTAATTGAAAGAAAAAAAAATTTACTGATTGTCTTCATTCTAAAAAAATGAACAAGCAGTTAACATTCAGATGCTCTCTCATGGTTGTTTTGGCCGAGATGTTGCCACTTGCTGCAGTTCACAAAACGCAAGTTTTTGAAATCAATTTAAAACCAATTATTTCTTAACATTAGATTTTTTTTTCTGCCTAACTGAATAAATACATTAAAATTAAAAGCTGAAGTTTTCTCAATCCTACTGCAGTGAATAAAATTATTTAGGAGCTTTTTACTAGGAATGCAGCGATTTGAAAACTTGGGCCGATGCTGATGTTATGGCCAATAACCGATATTTACAAAGTATTGGGGGGGAAAAAAAAGAAAGAAAAATGACTATCCTGCTGACTTCAATCATTCACTTAAACTCCCCACAATCCTTTGCTACATCAATATTATGTCACATGACCAAACAAATACCACAGAGCCAGCCTTCCTTCCCCATCCAGAAACAAACGGCATCAAGAAGGTGATAAGTATCAGTTGACAATATTGGCCTAGTTTTGTTTATTGGACCGATATGTTAAGAAATGACCCCCCCAAAAAAATCTGCCGATACCGATGTTGGTGTTGGTATATCGTACATTTCTAATGTTTATAAAAATAAAATTGGATATTGATTTGTGAATTTTTGTTGTACAAAAAGTGACTAATATCAGTCGATGAAAGCCGATCTATTGTGCAACTTTTCCATAACTTTTCTGGTGGCGGGTCGTATTCCGTGTTAATGCTTGCATTTTGAATGCCAGCTGACCTGCTTGGTGAAGTCCTGGACGATGCTGTGCTCGGACACCTGGGAGCCGATGGCGAAGCGTCTCTTGAGCTGCTTCTCGATGCGGGACAGCATTTCCTGGTCTTCCTGTGAGGTGAATCCCTCCACTCCTGGTTCAACAGCGAGAAAACGTTTCAAACAATCGATCTTGGTGAAGAACGGCGGCCGAACGCCGCGAATGTCAGGCTGCGCCAGGCCTCACCGGAGAGACTGCCGGACAGCGCCGCGTCCAGCGTGGACACCTGGAAGAGCCTCAGGGCCTCGTCCACTTCTTCTTCTCCTGCCACGGCCTGCAGCTTCATCTTAGCCAGAGACTCGGCAATGCGGACGATGGCCTCCAGCTGCCTGTTGGGTAAGACAATCGGGAGAATGTTACCAAA